GATTTGATCGACCCTCGAGTTATAGGTTTTCAATTTTTTGTCGTTGGCCTCAATTTTCTTTTCTCGTGATTCCACCAGCTTTGTCAGTTTCTAGAGCATTTTTATTAATTTGGGATTCATCCTAGGCTCAGCTTCATCTGCCCCTCCCAGTGCTTTTCTCACTTCTTTGGGTGCTCCCCCGGGACCGTTCGGGCTCGACCCTTCCAGGAGTTTGGCCATGGTTTTGTAGATGCGATATCGCCTCTTATTGAGCCTACACCATTTCGAAGATTAGCCGCAGCCTTATCCCATCACCTCTGCCTTCGGGTGTTTCTCGAACCATTGTTTGTGGGATTCCACGAACGCTGTTCTCTGGGTCAGTTGGCAGGTGGGCATCAATTGCAACTTTTGAATTGGCGTCGATTGGGTCGGCAGCTGGGACTTTATTGGGAACAATAGGGGTACCTCGTTGCACCTCGTTGCTAGGGCACCAAGTTATTATTGTTGCCATGATGGCCAGATTCAACCTCAATGTTCCAGTGAGCAGACTGAGAGTTTGACATTTTTAAGCAAACCTGAAACTGGAAACTTAAAGAACAAGTGTAAAATATAGTGCGTTATGAAAATTTGTATCAAATTACCACTATTATCCATAGCCCCACGGTGGGCGCCAAACTGTTTACCCTTAAAATTGGATAATAATTGAATTTATACACGATTTTAAGGATATGTGGATTAATTTAATTACAAGTGAACAATAACGTTAGATAAGAGAATTAAAGGTGAAATAAATAACCAAACAAGTTGTGGTTGTTGACTCCGGGCTCGGACCTAAGCTTAATAGTTGTTTTGCCTTGGATTCAGAGCCAAATTATATATGAAGAACTTTGAACAAAATAAGAACTTTAAAATAACTTAGAAGTAGAGAAAACAAGTTTATATTGCCTTGATATGCGTGTTACAATGTGTTTCTTGATTAAAAATTATCTCATTTATATAGTAGGGGGTTTCATCCTTAGTATAATTCTAAGAAAGGTAAAAATCTTCTTTTTCGTTAATCACTGATATGTTGCCGATACGGGGCGAGATCTACGCCATGATATCCAGTTGGGCACGGATATCGCGGCCCTTTGTTAGTCGTGTACAGACGTTTGATAATGCTTTTCAAGGTCTTGGAGCTCGAACCAGATCTGGGGGGCGTGGTCTCGATGGCTCCGGTGGTAGGTGCTTTGTTCAGGCCTTAGTACGAGAGGTTCCTAGCTTCGATTCTGATTCCTTATTTCGTTTGTCCCACCGGGAAATCGGGGTGCTCATTAGCCCCGGTTTTAGTCGTATACAGTAAAATTTAATAAATTTTCAAATTAGACAAGTCTATGAACCAACCCAAACTCAAAATAGGCGAAGAAAGAATAAAGAATTATAAGGGTTTAATGTCCTTAATCATTAGATATGTTACATGTGGTATCTCTCTCAGCTCTGAGATCGTGGGCTATGGTCGAAGATGATCCGGACCATGAACGAGGACAAATGGTCCATTCATGAACTGAACCAATTATATTGCTTATTGGGGTTAACGACCCTTGACACCTTGCTTACACGGCCCAAAATAAAATAGGGCCTTACTTTTTGGAATTTTTATGAAATATAGCCGCCCTTGAAAAAAAAAAAAAAGGAACGACATTATTGATGTTGGGTCTCGATCTTGAATCAAGCGGGCAATGAAAAGAAGCTTATGCTCCATGCCAAATCAGCTCAACCAACAAATTTTCAGACACAACAAAAATATATAAGGGTCCTTGGTACATATACAAATATTTATATATAATTTTTGCTGAGGCTAGCAGGTTTCGGTGACCTCTCTAACATCAATATAGGCACCCCTCTCCTACTAAGGGGATGTGGTGGAATAGATAGTATCTCTCCGCCCTAATCCCTTTCCCTTAAATAAAGTTTAAGGGTTGGGGCCTTGAAAATTAAAACATTCATTTTACAAAGCGCTTCCTATAGTGGGCCTTAAAGCAACATGAATTCGACAGGGTTTGACAGAAACATAACACGTTGGTGCTACTATTTGATTTCCAGTAATAGAGGTTCGAGAAAAATGCCTTAGGCAAATTTTAAAATTCACTTGCTAGGATTCTTTTCCATTTCTATTTTAAAGTACCTAGCAGTCATGGTGATAGTTAGGATTTTTGCCACAGGTCCTAACAGATCACCAGAATTTTTCAGTATTGTAACTAAAAAATTTTGTGATCGTCATAATTTTTGGTGCTTTAAAATTCTAATATTAAATCGTCAGAAATTTTAGTGATTCAAAATTCTGTCAAGCATATCTTAAAATTCTGAAGTGGGACAATTTTTTCCAATTTGTTTTAATGGGATCAAATCATAAATAATGGTTTAAAAAAAATTCATGTGGCATAACTTTTAAGAATTCGATTTAATTAAGATCCCAAAGCAATACAGGTCACCAAATGAGAAACAAAAATAAAATCCCACTCAATCAGCTTCGTCAAAAAGAGTTGGTATAGGGCAAAATTAGATGAGACGCAACTTTAGTGTAGATTATTCATTATTGATCAACTTTTCCTCTCTTTCCAGTTGCGCTTTGTCGTCAGGATCAATGGCACTCCCATTCTTGACTGTCCCCACCACATATTCTCTCGTGGTCGTTTGGTACTAGATTTATACCGCAAATAAATTAAAGTATAAATTTAATCTCATACTTAATCCAGGATATCGCATCCGAAAAAAGGCCAAAAATGTCCTTGAACTATTTGAAATAACTCAAAATGCCCTCCGTTTATTTTTTGGTTCCAAAAATATCTCCGCCGTCTATATTTTGGATCACAAATGTCCTTAAACCGTTAGTCTTGCCATTGAACGTGACATGTCAGTCCAACTATGTTAGATTTGCTTACATGACCATCCACCTAAATAATTTAGCATCGCAAAATTATTTTTTCGGAATGTGAGATTATTTTATCTCATCCCTCATGTGGGATAAATAATTCTGAAATTATTAAAATCTAGAGATAATTTAGTCTGCGTACCAAACGACTCCTTAGGTTTCAATTTCAGAATTACGAACTGATATACTTGCTAATTTACTTAAATAGAATACTAATTTAAACAAAGAAAGTATTTTAATTTCTTGCTTGTAGGTCAAAAACGTGTTTTTACCTTCTTACATTTGATTTTTCAATTTTATTTTCCATCATGATTGATTGACTTGATTTGCTATGACCTGCTAATCAAAGAAGGGCGTGAAAATCACGTGAGATTAGAATTCAAATTCTATCCTAGACAAAAGTTGCTAAATAAATACGCTCTCTACAATCCATGACATGGCGTTCAAGGCGTGGAAGAAAAGGCCGAGAGTCTATCGGAAACAGTCTCTCTATCCTATGGTAGGAGTAAGGTATGCGTACATACTATTATCCCGATAGTGAAATTATACTGAATTGTTGTTGTTGTATTTATAGTTTGTTGGTCTGGTCAAGTCGTTTATCGTAAAGCAGTTACTACCAATTACCAATGAATGACAGATAAAGATTCTTCCCGACTTCTACTTGCTGAAAACGACTACACACTTACTACATCCAACAGTGTAGCAACAACCTCAAGAACAAAAAGTTTGTCATTCTCACAATTTTTATTTTTAAAATTTTTTGTATTAATATTAGTCACGAAGCGGTGAAATAACAATAAAATTGTCTTTATGTGATCTATATGACACGGGTTCAAGGCGTGGAAGAAGTCACTAATGCTTACATATTAGGCTAGGTTGTCTACATCCACACTACTTGAAGTGCGACACTTCCCCGAATCCTAAATGAACACGGAATGCTTTGTATATCGGGCTAGCTTCTTTTCTTTTCATCAATGGGAGTGACCGATAATATCTCCAACCAGTTTAGTAATAAGTTTAAGTTTTCTTTAGTGAAAGTATTAAAAAATTATTTACACAAGCGAGTTACTTAAAAGCTCTCCGACATTTCTTTTAGTTACTATTTGGAGTTTGACAAGTTAAAGCAAGTGCTATTCCTTTCCCCTTCAAGAAGCCACGCTTTCTGTGTCTGAACGATCAAGCCATTCCACTCTAGTTATTATTGCTAAAATTAAATGCGATAGCTAGGAGTAACAAAAGTTTTATATTACCATCACTAAAAGTAAATAAAGAGTTAGAAGAAATTTTATTTTTTTGAGAAAGGTTGGATCAAATCATGTATATGTCTTAAATTTTTTATTAAATATGTATAAATTATTAATTTAGAAACCAATAATTTAAAAGAATTAGGATCATGAACACATAAACTTAAAATTCCGACTTCGCCTATGTCTCTAATATTATTCTTTTTAATCTATGATAGTAATGTTTTAGCTATCTTAGGTACACTTGATTACTCCAATCGAATACTTATTTCTCCTACTTGTATAAATTTTATAATTTGCCAACCAAAGTTTGGACATAACAAAAAAATTTGCGTGTGTTTTTTTGGGTTGAAATTCAACTCTGATCTCTTATGATCTTCATTACGTACTTTCACATTTTCTTTCGAGTTTAAGTTTTATATACAAATGATGCAATTAATACAATTAAATCATTTAGTAGGTAATAAAGGATTATACAGGTTAAAATTAACTGATAGGGTAAAAATCTATATAATCCAAATCCTTTTTGTTTTAGTTTCGGCCAACGGGTTTTTCAGAACCCAATAACTTTTGTCAAATCTATATTTATATTGAAAAATTCATTAAATATATAAGAATATTTAATTTGTAACACAGTCCATTAATACAATTAGCATTGTATATTAACTTAGATTTTTGTAGGATTTCATAAACCTAAAACCATGGATCGGCTTCTGATCCCGGTCATGGTCTGTCATTTTTTAGTTTGAAACGATAGTACTGCAATTAAAAAATTTCTGAAGAACTGAAATCAAATAGTAGGAGTCAAAACTTTATTTATTCTCTAATCAGCGCAATTACCGCTAATACAATATATCCCAATTAAATTATTCAGGTATACTCACAAGCATCGGTCTCCAAACCCTCCTAAGCAACCGTTGCCGGAAAGTTGCCGTCAATGGCCGAATTCTCCTGACTCCCGATCCGATACTACCACCGGCACTAGAAATTTCCGGTGAAAATCCCTCTCTCGAATTTTCCGGCGACGAAACGAACAAATCCTTAAGCTTGTTTCTCACCACCACTTCCTTATTATCCGGCGAATCTCCGTCGCTGAAAATCCGATCCGGCGACGCATCGTCCTCGGACAATAGCCGTCGATCAGTTCCTCCGTCGCTGCTGGCGCTGGCGCTGCGGGTGAGGAGCATTCGGAGAGTTTTACGGCGGCGGAGATGAATGACTGGGCTAGTTGTTGGGCTTCGAGTTGGGCTTCCAGCTGCTACAGCACATTGGGTCGCTAAAAGCTTGAATTTTTGCAGAGTTGCCATAATTGGAAGGTGAAAAGAAAGGGGAGGTGACTGGTGAGGGTTAAGGAAAGAAGAAATGGAGGAGGAAGGAATATGGAGGAGATAGAAAGTGAGAAGTGAACTTTATTATTGGGTAGGGGGCGGCCATGGATTAGATTCTGTGTTTTCGGTCTAAAGATTGTGTAGTAGTACTACGTAGGTAGAAACAGTATGATAAATGAGTGACTGAAGGGGTTTGACTAGGCTGCTCTCTTTAGACGATGGAGGGGCCGGGAGTATCATTAAATAAAAGTAAATATTATTCTCTCACTCGATATTTACAAGTTGAAATGCATTTTATTATTTATAAGTATTAAATATTTGTTTTCACAAGTTCCTGTTTGGTCATAAATTTGACTAATTTTTTCAAAAAAAAAAATTAAAAATATTTTTTGTTCATGCAATATGATCTGTTTTTGAAAAAGAATTTTTTTTTTTCAAGTAATCAGTTTTTGGGTGAATTTTTTTTCCACTCACAAAACTTTAATTTTTAATCAAATAAAATGCATGTCCAAACATAACTTCAACTTCCAAAAATTATTTTTTAACACAACTTAACTTTTATTTTCATGTTTTAACCAAATTTATGTCCAAATGCTAGCTTTAATTTATGTCAAATTTTAAACTAAAGTCACAAAAACTTTTTAAGTTAGTAATTAACCTAAATTTTTAACTTAATAATTTTTTTTTCAAGTAAAATGTATGTCCAAACTCTCAATTTCATTAATTTTTCTAAATAGTGGACTACGGTTTTATTTTCCCTTCAATTTCAACCCAAATGCTAAACGTACAGGACTAACTGCCTATGCTGAACAAGCCATAACTTTTCAAAAACTTAAGGCAAATTATATAAGCTGTCATCTGACCTATGGCCCAAATTCCCCTTACACATTTTCTATGCACGATAATAATATTACACACGCAACCTTTCTAAAGTGTATCTAATACACACTTCATTTGACCAGGTCTAAGCGTGTATAACACAAAACGGTAGAAGCGCGTGGACAGTAGAAACAGACAATTTCTGACTTAAATCAACGGCCAGAAACAAATTCGCCATTTTTAAACAAATAAAAGGGCCCTCAACCCATTTCTTCTCAAATTGGACCCGTATTCACCTTTATCCTCCTCCTTGAAAGCTCGAAGTTGCAGAAAATTTCTTCTTCTTGACATCTTCTTATGCGTTTTTCTGTTGCCAATATTACAATCTTCTTCTACTTCTTCCTTCTCTTTTTCGACATTAGAGTTCAATTTCTAGGGTTCAATTTTAGGGTTAGGGAAAATGCATAATTTGAGAAAAATTTGTTATTGTGGTGCAGAAGCTAAGGTGATACAGTCATGGAGTGTTGATAATCCTGGTCATCGATTTTACGGATGTCCATTTTATGAGGTAAATATCAATTGTACTTTTATAATCGATTTTATATTCTTTAATAATTTTTTCTCTTCGATTTTCAGAGGGACAATTGCTCGGCATGTAATTTCTTTGTGTGGTTTGATCCCCCAACTCTAAAACACTTGAAAATTATGATTTTGAGGTTGCTCAAGAAGAAGAGGGCGTTTGATGCATTATTGAAAGAAAATATGATTAAAAGAAATCGGAGGAGATTGTGTGTTCTGATTTTAATTTTGTTTTCACAAGTTCCTTTTTGGTCATAAATATTGACAACTTTTTTCATATTGTTTGTTTATGCATTATGATCTGTTTTTGAAAAAAGAAAATCAAGTTCCCAAAAACTGGTTAAGTTTTTGGGTGAAATGTTTTTTCACTCACAAAATTTTAATTTTTGGTCAAATAAAATATATGTCCAAACATAATTTCAAATTCAAAAAATTATTTTTTAACACAAATTTTAATTTTAATTTTTTAAATTTCAACCAAATCTATGTCCAAATGCTAACTTAAATTTATATCAAATTTTAAAATAAAGTCAGAAAAACTATTTTAAGTGAGTAATTAACGTAAATTTTTAACTTAACAATTTTATTTTCAAGCGAAATGTATGTCCAAACTCTCAATTTCATTAATTGTTCTATATAGTGGAGTACAGTTTTATTTTCCCTTCAATTTCAACCCAAATGCTAAACGCGTAGGACTAACGACCTGTTGAACAAGGCATAACTTATCAAAAACTGAACATACATCTTATGAATTTTTAACAATTTACTACGAGATGTACATCCTTAAGTTTTAGCCTCTCTGGAGTCTCGACTGATTTTTTGAGAGTTCAGAGATTGCTTCGATTAGAGAGACACGTTGAACAAATTTCAACTTTACCTTTTAAAATAAAATTAAGCTTTTGTTTTCTAGTCTAGTCATGTAAAAAATAGGTATACGATTAATTAGGCCTTTTAAAAATTAATTATAGGTAGGTTTTGGGGGATTTGCATCTATACCCAATTTTTGGGTCACGTTTTAATTTATACCCGCTTTATTAAAAAAATTGCAAGCATACCCACTATTCGGGTAACTTCAGATATACGGGCCTGAAGTAGCAAAACTTTATGTCTGAAGTTTGAACTTCAGGATGTTTTGCCTGAAGTGTAGCCTTATCAAAGTAAAACTTCAGATATTTTTGCTTGAAGTTTGGCCTGACTTACAAAGGCAATCACGCAAACTTCAGTTCATATTGCAATGGCAAACTTCAGTTCAATAAAACTACAGCATGTTTTGGCTGAAATTTTTGTTTTGTAATTGCTGAACTTCAGCATTATAGGAGCTGAAGTTTTATTTTGTAATTGCTGAACTTCAGCATTCTAGGAGCTGAAATTTTGTTTTGTATTTGCCGAGCTTCAGCATTCTAGGAGCTGAAATTTTTGTTTTATATTGGCTAAACTTAAGCAGTCTTAGAGCTGAAGTTGTGTTCTGACTTTCTTTGGAGTTAGATGGCTTTAAAATATAACTTAAGCCAAATTGTGCTGGAGTTTTAACTTATTTTTTTGATAATGTTCTGAAGTTATTTTTTCTATCTTTATTTTTCAGTTCTGCAGCCCTTTTCTGTCATTTTTCCTACAGATGATATCATAAAGCAAGGGGTAAGCTAATTCCAAGAGATCGCGAGAGTAGCTATTGTGTATAATAAATTTCACATGCATGTGCCATTCTTGTGGCATGTAACTTGGAAGAGAGGACATGTAGTAGTCAGTTGTTATTGTATGTTTAAGAAGGATGTATCAGGGAAAGACACAAATCACACCTACTTTAACCAGCTTGTGGAGTTTTATTTACTCGTCCTTCAACATAGAATATGGTAGTTGATAAGATTTAATAAAAACTTTACATATCCAATCAATAATACTTATACAAAGTCCCATGCGTTTGAGAGAGAAAAGAAGAAGAGAAAAAGAAGGGGAGGAAGAAAGGAGCGCATAGGTCAAGAGGAAGAAGACGAAGCGTTGGGGTATATGTTAAAGAATTTTAAAAATATGGGTATAGGTTAAATGGAC